TACTAGCAAACTTTGTTTACTTTAAGGGTTTCTTCTTTCCTGTTGAAGTTATCTAGGTGTTTGAAATCAATGGATCACAAATCAAATAGACACAATTCCTCCTACATATCCTCTCACCCCGAGGCCTTGCCATTTAACAACAGAACAACACACAGTTTAACTTCCAAATCACATCCTCTCAATCAAGGGTCACACAATATTTATACCCCACTCACTCCCATGCCAGCATTCTTTGAAAATGCCAGCCATAGATGCTGGCAAAATGTCAAGAATAAATTATTCTAGAACACAGCCTGAAAAACCCGCAAAAAACTATCATCCCTAAATAGTTTTCTTCTTATTTTTTATGATTCAAAACTATTCACACCTTCTGAAACTTGTGATTCCACACAATTAAACTTCCATTAATGAAGAACTGTTTCCCAGCCGGAGCTTCGACATCGATTTTCCCAACTTGAACTCTATGAAAGGTTTGATTGGAGAATGTGACCAAGTTGATGATGTCATATCCACCTGCCAAGTCTCCATTTTCATCAAAAAATATTTCTTCCCCAGCACTGTTGTTAAAGTGGATGCTTCTCAGAGCAGAGAAAAGCTGGAAGGGTGGGGAACGAAAAGGTTGGAATAAAGCTTCTGCTATCTCTCTGAAATTTGTTAAGTTGTGATCTCTGGGCCTAAGAAATATTGTGGCCACTGTTATCAACAGTACTCAGTATGGATTTGTGACATTTGTAGTCTCCTGCTTTTTCCTAACACTAAAATACAAAATTTTATGTTACCTAGTTTTCAGGCAAGGATGAATACTGTTAACATTGACATTTTAGGCATATTTGTTTCACAAAGCCTTACTGCACGAGAAAAGAAAGCCAAAAATGAATGTGAGAGTAATGGCTTTCTCCATGTTTCTTCACTTAATATCATAGCACTCCCATTCTCTTCCTGAGGGAGATAGTCATAACAGTGTGTCTTCTGTTGTGCTGAAAAAATTGTTCAACAAAAGGTATGCTTTTACAACCATCTCTCTCAGGAAGAGAATGGAAGTGTTATGACAGCATATGGAAAGGCATAGAGAAAGCCACTAATCTCCAAATCTGTTTTGGTTTTATTTTCTCATGCAATAAGGTTTATAGATTTGAGCATTCTATCAACCTGATGCCTATAGGATAGGGAAAGACTTTTTAAATTATTTGCAAAATAATATGTTCATTTCTTGCAGGACAAAGAAAATTTCTCACTCCCTTCTCACAGACTCAGAAGATCAGCACATTCAATTTAAAGTGACTTGTCCCTGATGGGATAAAGTTATGTTTAATTTGAAAAGCAGGTGTTATCGCACTCAGCCATGGCAGGGCAAGTGCAATTCGTATGCAGCCTGGATCCCAGCTACACTAATCCAGCCGCTTTTCAAAAACAGGAGCTTGCCGCTATGCCTGACCCAACCACATAGTGGCCAATAGAGAATAGGAGCAGCCAAGGAACACCACTGGCTATTTTCTAAGAGCTTGAATGGGATGACGACATGACCCTCTAAAACTGCCAGATGACTACCCCCCAGGAGGTACCTGAGAGTGCTTCAATTGCCTCTAAGAACACAGGCAGAACCGCTCCTCACTTGATACCCCCACCAGCCAGTAAATGGCCATTGTGGGGATGGGGGGCAGGGAGGAGGAGAATCTTAGATTCTTGCTTAGATTACAGCCAGTGTCTGGCACTACCTGCCCACAAGAGCAGAATGAGGGTGAGTCTTGGCTGAAGTGTCAGCAATAGTCTATTCAAAGACAGAAGAGGGATGAATAAAAAAGAGTCTTTGGGAAGACTCTCCTTGTTGGAGCTTCTTAGCATTTGAGAAAGCCCTTTTTTGGTTCTCTGCACCTTACTCCTCAAGTTTTAAACATTTATTCCATTCCTACTATGGGTATCCCCCAACCAGGACACGAATCTAGAAACTTCTTCCTCTTTGTGTTTCCCTAGCAAGAGGTCAACTGATTTTACTACCTGAGATATTACAATGTCATCATGGCTGGTGATCATCAGTAGCCTTATTTATGATTCATTTTATTTATTGAAAGCATTTATTTGAAAGAGTACTTGTTTTTCCATCCCACTTCAAACCAATGCATTACAAAATCTTACTCTGTCTAATCCAGCCCCTGAATCTCAACTGAGATTCAGAAATATGGATAGTTGGCCCTCCCACATACTTGCACCAATAAACAAAATGACTGTAAATTTTTGTTTTTTCACAAAATAAATTATCATATTAAAGATGGAACATTTGTGATACTAATGACAGTATTCTAGATGCAGCTGATGGAATAGACTTAGTTTATGAAAGCTTATGTTACCAACTTCCTTCTTTCCGTCAATCTCAAAGGTGCTACAAGATCTCTTTGCATAGTGATCCAGACTAACAA